ATACATTGATACTCGCGCCTGCCTACCGTCCACCGTATACAAAAATATATTTATCTAATTTCAGAAATTTTTAAAGATTCAGTTTTAAAATAATGTAAATTAATATTTAAAATAGTTTTGTTCACTCATTTAAACAAATTTATGGAAATATTTTTTTTTAAATATATTATATTCATTGTTTGTATTTGCGACTCTTGGATTGGCAAATGTTTTCTTAAACGAGGGAAATTGTTTATCATAATTTTTGATGATTTTAAAGTAATTGGCATTGATTGAAGTATAATTGGCACTTTTGTAATATTGTTTTTAAAAACAATTTTCATTCAACTCTTTCGTTAATTCGAGTATTTTTTAGTTTATATAGGCCTTTTTTAATTTTATAAAAAGTTATTCAATATTTTGGTGTCAATTTCAAAAATTTTGGAGATCATACAAATATCAATAATCTTGCAAATCTGGTTCGACGAAAGAAAGAAGCAATAAAAAAATATTTTGATTGACCGCAAGAATGCGTGAATAAAATCGTGACCTGCGAGAAAAATGAATCTTGAGAAATGAGAAGCATTTTTTCCGCATGAATAAGTGACACATATCCCTTTAACGAAAATAGCTCCTGCTTGGATACATCCTCATGGGAATCATGGTTCTCTTTTTGAGAAAGAGAGAGAGAGAGAAAAAAAGAGTGTAATTCTGAGAGAAAGAGTCCTGAAAAATCGTCCACTCAACTCTGGGAAGTGTTTTCGGATACTTCCTTGATCCAATATATAGACGTGTATATCTAGAGCAAAAGTAAAGCTCAAACAGCTGCTCCGAAGAACGTATATATAGATGAGTATTCCGGTTTTATGCACTTCGACACGATATACCATGTGTGCTTCCTTCTGCGAGAGGGGCAATTAGCAGCACCAAGAAACAAACAAGCGAATGTACGAGCTAATGCGTCGATATATATCGGAGAGAGAGAGAGAGGAGAGCTCACCTCGTTAGAATAATAATTATTGCTTTCTTGGGTTGCGCGATGTGCCAGCACTGGTTCTTGATATTGCCGCGCATGCATTGCCATTGCAACTAGGTGTTTGCTGCTTGAGAGTGATATAGTTGCCGGTTTGCTACCGGCCCTGATGCGATCTCTACGTGTAAGTCAGCTCTCGACACTCTCTCCTTCTTAGCGTTTTTTTCCTTTTTCATTTTTTCTTTTACTCTTTTTGCCTCTTTTTTCTCCCTTTTTCTACTTTTTTTCCTTTTTCACTTTTTTCGCCTTCTTTCAACAACTTATAAGAATAGTATTATAAAACGAAGAAATCAATTACTCCGACGACGTTAAGCTTCAAGAAAATCTTCAGTTTTAAAACGTAAAAAGCGCAGTTACTGATTCAAATCAGTAAAAATTTAACCTGATTCAGATTTAGAGAGTAGTTTTCAACGCCGATCGTCGACGCTAACTTCAGGGACATTTTTTCTTCTTCTTTCTCTTTCTCTCTCTATTTTTTTTTATTTCTATCGTCTGCCTTTTCTCAACTCCTTTTCTTCTTCTGGCTAAGCCTTGAATTATGGCCTACGGGTCACTCGCAACACGCTTCGTCGTTTAACCCTCATACCGATCTTGAATACTGAAATGCATTCCCGGCGGTTACCTTTTGTATTTCCGTGGTGGTAACGCACCTCGACTTCTGCAAAGCAACGAGAAATTTTATCGTAACATCGCGCTATCGATCTTTTACCCTCTTTCAAAGAGTTGGTGCGGAATCGTTCGATCAAGGAGAGAGAAAAAGAAGAAAAAAAAATCTTACAAGTTTACCTGCAATCGTGTTTCCTTTTGACGAACACGACTTTGGCTTCCTCACTTATTGATTCGCAAATTTACAATAACTTTTGTATAAAGAAAAAATTTCTATTCTTTTTTTTTTTGTTCGAAACCTTACATGCTTTTATTATTTGTGAAGCCATTTTTTGTTTTACATTTTTAAGTGTAACGATGAGTCTAAAACCATGTAAGCAAGTCAAAGCCTGTTACGTTTGGGATTTTTAATATCGATTCATTTTAAACGTTTTCTTCTAAACCTAGACTTAAAAAATCAAAATTTTAATTTTCATTATTGGAAAAATCTTAAATTAAAGCATTTAAAAAATTTGAAAAATTATTATAACTATTCAGCCACGAATTATATATATCAATTCAACGATTAACAAGTGTGTGGAAAATAATCAGAATAAAATCGCAATCGCAAGGAATTCACGTAAATCTGTTTTACCAAGCTTCATTAAATTTATAGTGCTCGCTTGATTATTATTTAAAGTCAAATCAACTCTTGGTTAATCATTTCTTAAAAACCACTTTCAACCGCATTAAATGACTACATTTAATTGCCCGTTGATTTTTCGATTTTATTGCTACTTTTATCTTATTAAATCTTCATTACATCTATCTTCATAAACTTATAATTTTATTTTCACCAACTAACTTCTGATTTAACCTGGAATTCAACATAAATAATTAAGTGAATATACTTTTAAATGCAGCGCGCAACATATATTTGATTGTGTGCGACGACGACTAATAAAAAAGAATAAAAAATACTTAGTAGTTTTATAGGCTCTTAAGAGAATATTTCTTGAATCGTAAAAAATTAATTTTCATACACATAAAAGAGATATATACTCCAAAAAAAAAACACGAAAGTCAGTTGTACTTTTATGTGAAATTAATATTTGATGTTAGTTATAAAAGATATGATTTTATCATTTTCTTTTGACATCAAAGATCAAACATTTAGTTTCTTATGGTTAATTTGGAAAAACTTTAATGTAAACATTACTGGGAGAACTTAAACTTACTGGGACTTGGGAGAATCAATTAATTTTTGTTAATTTGGGTTCAAAAATGAATCTCAATTTGGGATGTATTCAAAAATGAAGATATGATTTTGGTTCAGTTTTGAACATTCTTGGTTTAATTAAGAATGAATCGAGGTGTTTTTTAAAATTACTGAATGTTGCAGTGAATTACGACGGGGGAGGTGTTTTTATTACTTTTATTAGCACCCACTGACGTCAATCTCGTCGTTAAAACTCAGCACCTTACACCGTGTAACTGATGGCAATGCGAGCCGACTGCAACACTCATATACATGCTTTCCTGTTTATACTCGAATGCATATATGTGTGGGTAGAAATTCGTCGATCCCTTCGCTTCGCACGTCCTGCGACAGTTGGTTCTCGAATTCGCAGCAACGACACGCATTAACGCGGCACCACAATGTACACACACAAATACACGTATTGCAAGAGCTGTCACATCATTTTCTACACCAATGTATACACCAATACATGTAGTAACAGATGCACCAATACATCCAACAACAGATGCACCAACACAACCACCAACAGATGCACCAACACATCCACAAATTTATGCACCAACACTTAAATATATTAGATGTATGTACACAAAAATGTACACACAGACACGGTACTCAAATTCAAAAATATGTTTGGGTCTTCCACACACAGGGCCTCTGAGTTTGTTTAAGGCCTGAAAAGAGCAAAGGCAAGCGAAAGGCACTCAAGCCGCTAATCTATTTAGCCGTAGTGTTTGATATGGAATTAATGAGGCTATAGGTATTATGTCCAAACTTAGGTGGGGTTTCCCTTTCTGGGAGGAGAAAAATAATGCTGACTGATATTCAGTCGCTACTAGATGCGTGTAAAGGGAGGGGAAAAAATCCTTCTTTTCGCAACAGCTGCCTCTTGAAAAATCCTGATAGGTTGCTGCTGCTGCTTTGCTCCCCGATGAGTTATATTAACAAGTCATAATATTAGTTCACATCATCAGTACTTATGTATTAAAACTGGATCAGTTTTTCGACAAGCTTTCGCCTATACATGATGTCACATTTAATACTTTTCTCACTGTCATTTCAATTCTTTAGACAAATACAATTTATTCTTTTGTATGCAGAAATTTACTAAAATGTTATTTCTTTCAACAGAAAATAGAACAGAGAAAGTAGAAATCAGTTTTTAAGTATAAATATTAAATACTTTTGACAATAAAGATACAACTGTTGTAATCATTAAAAATAATATCGTACAGATTTGATTACTATAAATTATTAATTTGGATTTTTTCGGAACAAATTTCAAAAAACGTATATGTTTACAATACACTTTCTGTCAAGGTACACACTATTAACTATATAGTAAAAGAATTTATCTGATACCCTAATGGACATTTCTAATTCTCCCCATAATGACCCTACTTTAACACTAATTACATAGATTATAGACTTAAATTTTCGCGAGCGTATCAACTTTGTATTGCCCTTTTTGCTTCAGCATATAATAGAGTGTAAATTATTGAGTACAGATATATAGTAAGTACGCTATGCAGTGCAATATACACACAATTATACCCTCAATATTAAACATATACTCAAAACTTGTGTTTTAATTAAAAAAAGAAGCGGAATATATTGTTTGATACAAGCGGAAGATATTAAAATAAACATTTTTATTAAAGAGTGTGATAAATGAGCATTTTTATATATGGAGTAAAAGCAAAGTTTAAACACTGAATTTTATTTTATAAATTTATCTGATTCATTCGCACTTATTAATCCACATATTACACCTCCGACATTATATATAAAATACACACATTGCGTGTTAATTTTTTTTTCCATGTATTCTTGTGTACGATGGCTCTTTTGCATTTATAATAATGCAAAAGTCCATTAACATTCTTATAATATACATATAATGCGCACACTTTAATTGCCCTATTGCAATATTCCGCAATATATTTATTTGGGGTAATGATATGCTGCATTTCCCTCAACGTTATGCAAATTACCATTAAAAATATATTATTTATAAAACGTACCGTACGCTATCGAAAATTAGTTGAAGAATTAATTTATAGTTTGTAAATACCTACTATAACAAATTACTAACAAAATGATAATTTTTGAATAAAGTGTGTAAATTTTGTTTGATTGCAGTGTCCTGTGACAGTGAGTACATCGTCATTGGCGTCATCGCCATCGCCGGCATCGGCGCCAATTTTGAGCGTTAGTAGTGCATCTTCGTTAGGAAGCGGCGTTGGTGTGAATCATCCATTAAGTAATCCTAGTTTACAAACCGCAAGAATGGCTGTGACGAGTGCAGTGGTCCGACCTCCCGGAAGTCCAACGACATCCGTGAGTCCATCTCAACCCCACCCGCCGCCGTCGGCTGGTGGTCCAGCAGGTGGAAGATGTTGTGACACTGGTAGACCAATTTATACGGATCCATTGACGGGAAACACTGTTTGCTCTTGTCAATATGAACTTCTTGGTGGTTACCAAAGACTCGGTGCTCTTCCTACCACGGCACTTTCAATGTATACTGCACCTTATGCCGCGGCGGCTGCAGCTGCAGCATCCGAGGGGATGGCTGCCTATTTTCCCGGATTGGCTGAACAGGGCCACTTCTACTCCCCCACTGTGAGTTTTCTTTCGACGATTAAATTTATTCCTTATCCGCACTCTTTTCTTCAGTTCTTTTTATTTTTCTTTCCATCTTTTGTTTCATCTTTTCTTTTCTTTTCTCTCTTCTTTCACTTTCTTTATAATTCGTAATTTTTAATTTTATTTCACTTTGAAATTTTTTCAATTTTTGTTTATTATTAATTATATAGAACCGTGTGCAGGGTTCGAACTAGTGAAAGTATTTAAAAATACGGATAATATATACTGATAAAAATATAACCAGTCCGAGGCAAATAAGAAAACATTTCACTTAAAACTATAAATTAAATTTTTTAATAACTATAAAACATGAAGATATCGATAACTCCGAGTCGATACTCGGAGTGATCGATTTCTTCTTGTTTTATAATAATTAAACATGGTCCAGAGATAAAATAATCATTTTATATTATAAGAATATTGTACTTCTTCAAAATTATTTTCATCATTTCAATTCAATTATTATTTTCAAGAATTTTAAAAATTTTTTAAAATTCTTCTTTTTTTTATTCAATTTTACGAAATTTCAATTATTTGTAAATTCTTCAATTAAATATGTATTAAAAAATAAAAACTTCAGAAATATCTAAAATTTTAACAGAAATTCATTTTTAAATCAATTTTTTTTAGAAAATTCTACTAGAATTATCAATTATTATTTAAATAAAAAAATAAATAACTTATTGAATAATTGAATGTTTCTTAAAATTCAATTTCCATAAAGAATTTTATCAAATTTTTTTAAATAATTGAATTCTTTAGACGAATTTTAGTAAAATTAGGAATAATTACATTTTTCAAGAAATTCGATTAAAATTATAATTTATATTAAAAGATTAAAACTAATTGAAATTCTGCGATGAATTTTATTATTTGTGAAAATAATTGAATCCCTAAGAAGAATTTTATTATTTTTGAACAATAGTTCATTTCGGAATATTATTACTTATGAAAATAACTGAATTTCTGCAATAATTTGTAACATCTGCAAAATTAAATTTTTTTTAGTTCTTTTAAATAAAATTCTTCTATAAATGCATTATTTTTAATATTTTTTGAAAAAGTTCTTTGAGAATTTTCAAATTCATTTGTTTATATTTCAATTTCACAAAATTTCAATTATTCGTAAATTCTTCAATTAAATATATATGTATATTATTAGAAAATAAAAACTTCCAATAAAAAAAAAATTCAACTAAACTTTTTCTAAAAAATTAATTCTACCAAATTGTTACAGTTAAAAGTATGAAAAAATCAGATTTTCAAAAGATTTCAATTTGAAACGTTTTCAAAATTTAATTATTTCTAAAAATTCACGCCATAATGCTTTTAATATTGAATTATAATCTAAAATTTTAACTGAAATTTATTTTTAAATTAATTTTTTCTAGAAAATTCTACTAGAATTCAATTATTTAAATACAGAAAACAATAATTTATTGAATAATTGAATGTTTTTTAAAATTGAATTAAAATAATTAAAAATAATTGAAATTATGCGATGATTTTTATTATTTATGAAAATAATTTAATCCCTAAAAAGAATTTTATTATTTACGAAAATAATTGAATCCACGTGAAAATTTTATAAGTTATGAAAATAATTGAATTGCGAAGAAATTTATAAAATTAAAAATAAAATCTAGTACGAAAATAAATATTGATTTCAATATAATGTTGGTTACATAATTAATTACCTTAATGCGAAAAGTTTGTTAGTTTTCGTTTAGCATATTCTATTTTATTTCTCAAACTAAATTCTCATTTTGAACATTAATAAAGTTAATTCAATCTATTTATTGTTCATAAAAAACAAGTGTCTACGAAAAAAAAATTACCGAGGACACTAAAAAGCTTTATGGATTCTGTTCTTTATAGAATTTTAATTTTAAAACAAGAAGAAAGCTTCTAGTGAACAACTAATTCTAAATATTAAAGCCGAATCTAAATATTTTTAATTGATCTGAAAATTAGAGAATAATTATTTTCCATTACTTGAATTACTTGAATATTAGAGTAACTATAACAATAATAATAATATAATAAGCAAACAAATTATGTAATAATAATGTCAATGGACAAAAATTAATTTCATCTTGAGAAAAAAAAATCTTCCGCATTCTTGGATTAAATTATACACTCAAACAAATAATAAAAGAAGAAAAGAACACGAAACTTGTTACAATTTTAACAGTTTGTTAAATAAATTGACGAAATTAATCAACAAAATGTTATTGAATACGATTTTTAAATCTCAAGAATTTATTTATTGTTCACGCACAAATATCAACACGTGTCATTTCTTGTAATCGAAAGTTATGACCAAATATGAAAAATATTTTTATAAAATTCATAAATTATTGTACAAGATTATTCATTGGTAATAAAATTGCATTGGTATGAGTTTTTAAATATTTTTTAAACAAAACACACGCAGCTTCCTCTTCTCTTTTTCTTGTATTTTTATTACCTTCGTTACTTATTATATTATTATAATTATTTCTACTGTTATCATTAATTAATAATATAATTATTTTAATATTATTTTTACGGTTGTTTATTAATTCAATTATATTACTTTAAATACTTTACTTTTTTGAACTCTCTTATTTTAAATTTAAATATATTTAAATAAATTTTTATATATTTTTTATAACTTTTTTGCAATAAACTATATTATAGAAAATTTATCATTTTTTTGATAAAACAGTTTCAAACAGTTTTAAAAAGTTTTACAAAGTTTCAGAAAGTTTTAAAAAATTTTAGTAAGTTAAAAAAAATTTAAAAAGGTTTTCTAAACATGACGATTAATGAAAATTAAATTAACGATCTCTAAAAGGTGGAAAATATGTAAGAAAAATTATTCTTTTTTCAAAAGCAAATTTTCTGCAATGTTTTCTAAAAAAAAAATATTTTTTTAAGCAGTTGCTTGAAGAGTATAGGAAATAATATTCACAATTCGAATAAAGTTGAGATGTTATCATTTCTAATAATCATAAGTGTTAAAAACGCGGTGACTGTCGTTCAAATACAGAGGTTATCGGACCACACAAAAAGCCGATGAAATTATATGCCGTACAGCATTTATTATGAATCCGTTCGTTTTAAAGGAGCATACAGAGGGAACACTGTCATGGCGCGCACTGATGCTTTTTTGTTATCGAGTCGTTAACGATCGAATTTACGACAGTCCTTTACCCGCGCTCACACAAGATCACGAAATAAGAAAGAGAATATTCTTTTCATATTCTTTAGACTTTCTTTTGTCTCTTGTTTTTTCTCTTCTTTTTTTCCTTTTTTTTTTGCTCTCATCTTGGCTCGAGTGCAATTATTTTTTTTCTCAAATTATTTCTCAACTGAAATTATTTTTTTCTTAAATTATTCATTCTCAACTGAAATTATTTTTTTCCTAAATTAATAATTTTTTTTATCAAAAATAAATATAATTCTTTAAATTTTTTTAAATAGAAATTTGTTCTATTTAGCTTCAGTCTGAGATCAAAGGAAATTCTCACAAATAAATTGTTTCCTAAAACCTGAATATTTATTCAAATTTTTCAGAGGGAAATTAAATTTTTCTAAATTGAAAAAATATGTTTCAGGCCACAGGATTGGATCTCAAAGAAAATCTAGGCGCTGGTGCAGCGGCATGGCCTTATCCATCGGTTTATCCGCATCCGTACGAAGCTGCATTTGCGAGTTATCCCTTCAGCGGGTAAGTGAATAAATCCACCTAACCATGATTAATGTAACATTTCACTACAACGATACATTTTTCAAAATCTCAACTCGGATTTTATGCTTTCTCGCACATTTGCAAATTCCAAATAAAATAACGAATCCGCAGTGGCAGGAGAAATTAAATATTCATTCAAATATACATATATTTTGCTAAAAGAGAGAAATTATTTTTAAAATAATTGAAAGCTTTCATGCCTTATTGCTTCGTACACGCAGTGATATCACGAGGTTCCCGAATGAACCCGAGCTGTTTATCTCCCAAGAAATAATTAATTCTTCATAAATCATTCAACTTGAGCGTTTACTTTTTTATATCACATTTATATATGCATATAACATATAGCAAACCTTTAATTGATTCAAAATTAGTCCCTCATTGAATTTTAAACTCGAGCTTTTATATTTTCAAAAAACGAAATTTTAACCTTTTAAAGAAAAAAAGCAGGGTCTAAGATAATAATAATATTAAAAGTAATTTTCTTCTGAAGTTAAAGTCTTCTGAATTTAAAATATTACTTTATTGACAATTTTATTTAATTTCTTTCATCATTTTTACAAACAGAAAAAATGTAATTGACAAATAAAAAAAAAAAGAAAATCAATGTGAATTATTAACAAAAAGAAAAAAGTCGACAAAATTAAGTGTTTTAAAAAATCTACGTGTTAAGTGAAGGCGACAAATTATTTTTAATTGGCTTTTCCCTCTCATTAGAAAAGTGTTTTTTTTTTTCTTTCAACATTTTTAAGTGACAATTATTTTCATTAGTTTGAAAATTGAAATAATTGCTCAGTGGCTAGGCGCAATTTCGAGTTTAAATAACTTTTACGGATGGCATGGAGAGTAAACATAGTAATTTACTCTAGTGTTATTTGTTGTAAGCGATTTTTCGTCGTTAGGTGCAATCAGCACTTGACGAACTTTAGCGCGCTTTAGCCGTATGTTAAAGATAACGAGAGCGGCGAGTAACACATAAACATTCTAATAAATTAGCGTTCAAGTGACCCGCGACTGTCGCCACAGGGTTTTTCTTGCTTGGTCTCAGAATCGCGTGTCATAACTCGACTGGTGAAAGGTCCATGTTGATAAATCAATCTGTTGCTTGCTTGAAGATTAGAAATCGGGCTAAGAGTGGGAGAGAGAGAAAGAGATAAAGACACACAAGAAGGACAAGTTGAGAATAAGTGTCATTAGTCGAGTTCGTAATTAGTAATTTTATCTCTCACCATTACTCTCTTTCTCTCTCTCTCTTCCTCTCTTTCCAGTGTCTAAAAATCAATTTTTCGTTTCAACATTTTTTTTTCAAAGTAAATTCGTTGTTAAAACGATTAAATATTAAAATAGTAAAGAGTGAAGTATGAAAGTCTCGTTAATATTTTCTGGAAATTAATTTCGAAACGCTATTTTTAGAGTCGTACAAAGGACGCTTGTTTTCTGGCGATAGAATTTTGACGGAATTTTTGCTTTTGCAGAATTTTTATTTCCTGGAATTTTACTTTCAGTTATTTATAATTTATTAAAATATCGCAATTTCAAAAATAAATTAATAAAATGGAATTTATTTATTTTTTTTATGAATTGTTTTTTGGTGAATTTTTATTTGAAGAATTTCCTTCTATACAGAATTTTCATTTCGAAAAACGTTTAAAACATTAGGAAGATATTTCTTAAAATAACAATTTCTTTAAATAAAATTTCCTGTAAAAAATCTTTCTAAATAAGTTTCATTAAATAGAAATTTGTTTAAATAAAAAGTCTTCTTTAAATAAAAATTACTTTAATTAAAAGTCGGTTTAAATAAAAATTCGTTTATATATAAAATTCGGTTAAATATAAAATTCGGCTAAATATAAATTCCTTTAAATAAAAAGAAGGTTGAATTATTGAAAATTTCTTAATTGAAAGTTGAGTAAAATTAACTTCCCCACCTGAATACAAATTCTATTAAGTAAAAAGTCGCGATTAAATAAAAATTCAATGAAACAAAAACTCTGGAAATAGAAAAATTTGTCAAATAAAATTAAAATTTAAAACTATCACAGAAAAAATTGTATTTTTTTGAGTGTTACTAAAGAATTTAAATTCGAAGAAGTAAATAAATGTCGTTCATTCGAATGATAAAAAATTTTAGGGGCGTAATAATTTTAGGGAAAACAAAACAAATAAAGAAAATAAAAAGAGAAATGAATAAAAAAATAGACAAATGAATAAAAATTAAAACAAATAGAAACGAATAGAAAAATAATAAATACAAATAGAAACGAATAAAAAATAACAAATACAAATAGAAACGAATAAAAAATAACAAATACAAATAGAAACGAATAAAAAATAACAAATACAAATAGAAACGAATAAAAAAATAATAAACACAAATAGAAACGAGTGAAAAGAAATAAATAAATAAGAATAGAAACGGATAAAAATAAACAAAACAGAAACATGATTCCGTATCGAAAATTCGCAAAAAGTAGTTGCGTTTTAAATTCGGTTTTCGAGTATATTTTAAATTCGTGCGTGCTCAATTAAAAGTGAGGCATGCGGAAGTTGAATTAGGCAATGAAGAAAGAATATTGCAGGACGTTGGTCAGTGACGAATTTCAATGACGAATTTAAATGACGATTGGCACAGATGATGTGGTTCAAAGTCACGTCGTTTGACTTGGTTGTTTCCCAGGTAAGGTAACGTGGGCCGACAACGTCGTCGGAAACCTCAAGGAATCTGACGCACTTCCGGTAAAACTGATTCGTATGCGCGGAAGCGATCAGGTACTACAGCTTGCTTAGCATCCATTCGGTCTAGTCGCAAACCGCAAACAACTAGTTTTTTTTTTTTTATTTTCTCCTTCTTTTATATCCAAGATGTATACCGACACTTTGGACCGGAATCGAATGAATATATTCATTTGTACTTTGTAATACACTACGAAGAAAATTTTATTTCATTAGTGTCCGATTATTGGCAAATAGATGTTTACTTGAGTCAAATAAATGTTTACTTGAATCAAATAAATGTTTACTTGAATCAAATAAATATTTACTTGAATCAAATAATTTTTCTTTAAATCAAATAAATTTTTATCAAAAATGATTTGAATGAATTAATTTTTCTTTAAATCAAATAAATTATTATCAGAACCATTATTTATTATTAATGAGATTTATCAAAATAGGTAATAAAAAAAATTAACTTCAGTATTTTTTTTATTTCCAAATTTAAAAATAAATATACCGAAAGTCTCATTTGCTTCGAAGAATCATTAATTGGCAATGAAAATTCATAAGTGATTATAAACAATCGATTTCCTTTGAGGCTAATTTTTCTCCTTCATTTTTTGCAACAACTTTTCTTGATTGATTATTGAATTATTTATTCTTGGCGCTCGTTAAATGCGAATGGTGAATTTGTCTCCTTTGTTTTAGATTACGACACATCCGCCTTCGACATCTATTTCAGCTCCTAATTGACTTGATTAGATAACCCCATGTCGACAGATAATGCAACATTTTCAACCCGTTACTTAATTTCCAAATTAATTACGTTTTCAATTATGCGAAATTATATATGACTGATGCATAAATTGGACTCATTTTTTTCATAATTGTTATAATTTTATAATAAGTTCACTTTTACTTTTTTTAAGGTCCATTCATAATATTATCTTATTCGAGAATCTAATTCGAGTACGGAAAAATAATTTTTAATAATGGAAAATAGTTCGAATGGGGAAAAATAATTTGAATACAGAAAAGAGTTTTGAATACAGAAAAGTAATTTGAATACAGAAACATAATTTGAATACAGAAAATTAATTCGAATACAGAAAGGTGATTTGAATACAGAAAAGTAACTTTTTGTATTTGAAATATTTTTCTGTATTCGAAATACTTTTCTGTATTCAAAACACTTTTCTGTCTTTGAAAGACAGAAAAGTGATTTGAATACAGAAAAATATTTCAAATACAAAAACGTTATTTACAGAAAATTAATTCGAATGCAGAAATGTAATTTGAATACAGAAAAGTAACTTTTTGTATTTGAAATATTTTTCTGTATTCAAATCACTTTTCTGTATTCGAATTACTTTTCTGTACTTTTCTTTCTTCCAAAGACAGAAAAGTGATTTGAATACAGAAAAGTAATTCGAATACAGAAAAATATTTCAAATACAAAAAAGTGATACGAATACATAAAATGGATTCAAGTACAGAAAAGTATTCCAAACCCAGAAAAATAGTTCGAATACAGAAAAATAAATCAAATATGGAAAAATAAATCAAATAAATGATTCGAATAAAGAATAGCAATTAAAATAAAAAAATATTTGAAGTATTCAGAAAAAAATAATTTTCTTTACCGAAACTTGATCTAGAAAAATTAATGCGTGACCACCAGTTATTTGTTTAAGTCCGTGTATAAATAAAAAGTGTATAATGCAGTGTTGGCATGCATGGCCGCGAGGTCGGGATCGGTCGGGTTAACGGTCTTGTCTTTCCGGCGGATTGGCCCTGCTTCCGGGGACATATAGGGTAGACAATGAAAAAAAAAATAAAATAAAATAAGTATATATAGTGACTATCAAACGCATTTGTATATAAGAAAAATCGTGTTCAACGTTTGAGTTTTGACGAGAGACACACGTATTAATAAGTATGTCCGTACAACGACCGATGTGTCAGCACGCGCCCCAGGCCTCCGTGAATAACGTGAGATGCATTTCATTTCGCATTTGCTTATTGCAATTCTCCGCATTTTTAATCGCGCACGAAAAAAAAAAGAAATAGAAGACGCTTGACAATCATGAGCCACTGTTTTTATCCTCACGTGATGTTAATTTATTTGCCTAACAATTCAAAGCGAAATTATATTGTTTCTCAGAAGGAAAACACAAGTTTCTACTTTGTGTAACTATTTTTTTTTCTTATTATTTTTTCCTTCATTTGCAAATTTATAATTATTATAATATAGTAATAAT